AACCTGAACTTGAACGGCTGAAGTGACCCACATGAATTTTTGCAAATAAGAGGGAAGTTATATTGCAAAACATACTTGGGTGAAAAATAGCGTTCGTAGCCAAAATGGGTTTGCAGCTCTCGATCGTTTCACGTTCTCGAATTTGTCTCGAACTTAAAACCCGATCTCGAGTCGGCAAAACCTCACTTTTGGCCCTAGGTACGAAATATACTTTTTTTACCCCAGAAGCCTTTAAAGATCCCTCCACAGAGTTGTTTGCATTTTGGCCATGTGAATAATACTTTTGCAATGTTATTTTCTTATTTTAAAATTGATTTTCTTCTTTATCATGTCATGTTTTGCAATATAACGTCCCATTACGAAATCAGTGGATATGACAGTAATTCTTAAATTATTTCTTATTGAACTATCTTATATCACTTTTACGGGTTGGTGTCTGCCTTTTTCACCACTTTTGCCTATATTTTATCATGTTATACTACACATATCAAATATTAATGTAGAAATATCTGCTCTTATCGTGTCTAATAAAATCCAAACATAGAAACTTTGTCTAAAATGGTACCCATCTTGACAAATTATTTTCACCTGCCTATATTACGGACTTTGGCGCACTGGTTTGGTAACATTATTGAAAATAATACAACATTTTTGCTGTAAAAAATGGTACAGAGAAAATACTATCTAAGCAGCTACTGTCAATGCAGAGCGAGCGAAGCTCTTTGGGATCAATTTCAATGCAACAAATAGAGAAACATCACTCAATAACGGCTGAACGCATTTCAGCCAAACTTAACAAAATTACTTAGACTAATAGTGAGATGGTTTTTAAACAAACAAATTTCAATTAGCAATTTAATTTAGTCCGAGTAGGGGCAACATCAAAATGTGACAATGCGCGCCGAGACTAGCGTGTCTAAAGCGCCTGTTCAGAAGTCGATGTGAACCCCTTCTGTGAAGGAGTCAGGCATTGTGCGAGCCGCGAGAGCCCCTCACGTCGAATTAAGAAAAATTATTTTATTTTTATATAAGACTAATTTTAAAATTATTAATTATAAAATTAAACTCTCATCACCTAACACAACCAACCAAACTTGCTGATAATATAAAATATTATTATATTATCAGCAAGTTTGGTTGGTTGTGTTTGGTGATGACAGTTTAATTTTATAATTAAAAATTGTAAAATTAGTCGTATAATACAAATAATATAATTTTTCTTAAGTCGACGTGAGGGCCTCTCGCGGCTGGCACAATGCCTGACTCCTTCGCAGAAGGGGTTCACATTGACTTCTGAACAGGCGCTTTAGACACGCTAGTCTTGGCGCGCATTGTCACATTTTGATGTTGCCCCTACTCGGACAGTTGAAAACTCGGACAAATGATATTTTGATATTTTTTTAAATAATTTAAAAACTCGGACAAATGAAAACTCGGACAGTTGATTTAACAAAATATTATTATTATTTAAACCATACTCGGACAGTTGAAAACTCGGACAAATGATTTTTCAAATATTTTGTAATTTTTAACAAACTCGGACAGTTGAAAACTCGGACAAATGAACCTCACCCCATAAAAAACCAAATGAAAAGAACATTTGGATTCGGACCTTTGACCATAGCAAAACTAACATATAATTTATGAAATGTGAAAAGTTGTATATCATTAAATACTATTCTGTAATATTAATAATTGTTCGGCAAATCCTCATTTTAATGGCTCGGCTGAAAATGGAATCTGTATTTTGTGAAACAGTAATTTGGTAACAATTCAGTAATTTCAAAAGTCGATAACAGTAGCCTATCCTATATAAATACTGTTATTTGATTGCCAAGCCACGGACTATACATACGTCCAGTTACAACTGTAATAAGTAAGTAATTAATTACCTGGGCTTATAGAAGTACACTTTTAACCACGGTATGGATAATTGTCTAGGCCTGTCCAGAAGTAGGCTACGAATTTCTAATCATATTATCTACATTGTATATTTAAGGCATGTCTTCTTTTCTTATTGTTATTCTGTTTTCACTTAAATCAGCTGAATGCGATGTTTACTTATTACTTATGTTTAGGCCTACATTTCAGCCATCTTATTTTATTGTTCAATAAGTAAGTCTTTTTGCATTTTTTTTCGTTTTTACACGTTGAAATATATGATTGATAATTCAGTTCATTTTAGTTTTTTAAGGTGTTTTACATTTTGAGTCTTACATTGAAATAGCCCTACATTTTTCGTAGGCCTATGTTTTATCTTTGACTATCAATACAACTTACAGACATTCCATCCCCATGTTAAATTTGTAGCCAGCTTTTTCATAAAAATCTTCTGTATCCAATGGCCATTATTAAGGACAATATTAAAATGCTGTCTCTAAATCGTCCTAATAATGGTAGAAGACCTACATTCCAGTTACATTACAATAATATCCTCCATCATATCAAGAATACTTGGTATTAACAATCATAAATTATTTCCAGCAAAGAAAGCTGAGCTTAACCGATTGCAAGGGTTGAAATGAAGACCAATGTTTATGTTGCACAGTTGAATTTAAATGTCTAATTTCCCCTCCTGTTGTTATACTTTAATACTCGTTTTTTAAATAATTAGCCTACTGTTTTTTTATACTTCAATACTTTAACCGATTGTAAGGGTGAAAAATGAAGCCCAATGTTTTTGTTGTAGGCTACAGTTGAATTTGGATGTTAAATTTCCTTTCTCTTTTTTATACTTTAATGCCCTTTTTGGATGTTAATATCAGATTCCAACTACTGTAATATTTTCCTGGTCAAAACTACCATAATGCACTTCTGGAAGAGGTATCTAAATAACAAGATGTAGTAAAACAAATTTGAATTGTTATAATTTTAACCAATAAAACCAGCATTAGTACATCTTTTGACTTTTTCACATTTAGTTACTTATACAAATATCAAATCACGTTTTTTCGCTCAACTGGCTTTCACCTCTCTGAAAGCAACCCTAGTAATAATATGTATTTTAATTTAAGTACCATACTTTAATTGATTCGGTTATATGTTTACCTCATATAACATTTGAACATGGATTGAAACATTAGATGTATTTGGAATACTCTGAGAGTGAGAAGCAAAACATGACTTTCAGCAATGTTGCATCGAAATTTACCTTTACTAAGTGATTCAGAAATGTAATTGTAAAATATTTTCATTTTGTCAACATGACTAGAATGTTAATAAAATAGATGTCAGCAAGAAATAGTTTGTAAGATAAAAAATTGCAGCATAGGACAACTTATATAGTGTTCTAACCTAAAACATTGTTATTGTTTCAATGTAAAAATTCAATTGATACAAAGTAACTACGTTACCAATTTATGTTTGTAAACAAAAATAATTTTTTTAATCTATATATATAAAATCCAATGTATGTTTGTATGTTTGTCCATTATGGACTCCGAAACCGCTCGACAGATTGTAATAAAACTTTCAGGCATTATTTATTATTATTCAAGGATGGTTTGTGTGAAGTTTGGTGCAGATCCGTCAAAAGGGCTCCGCCCCAGTGGCTCTGGAGTTTCCCATGTTAACCTTATGAGTACTCATTAAAGAATCTTACAGCTGGTTCAACTAAAAAATTTGATTCTGTGATGTTCAATAGCATTAACAAGTTAATAGGTTTACCAAAAGGGTGCAGCACTATCATTTTTTTTAATTTACGACAACAGCTAATTTGCAACCAAAAAGGTGAGTGAGCGTAGCGAACGAACTTCAACCTGGAGGCGAGTTAGCGTTGCGAACGAGCTAACTGAAGGCAAGTGAGCGCAGCCAACGAGCTCCAACCTAAAGGTGAGTAAGCGTGGCAAACGAATTTTGACCAGGGCGTGATTGAGCCATGCGAACGAGCTCATCTTGAAAATGAACAAGCATTGACATAAAACCATATTAGGACAGGAACCTGATGGCAAGTGAGCGCAGCGAACGAGCTCCAACCTAAAGGTGAGTAAGCGTGGCAAACGAATTTTGACCAGGGTGTGATTGAGCCATGCGAACGAGCTCATCTTGAAAATGAACAAGCATTGACATAAAACCATATTAGGACAGGACGACGTCTGTCGGGCCAGCTAGTGGTGGCATAAAACAATTTAAATAATTATTTACTACACAAATTATTTTTAATGTAAAACATTGTTCACCACTCGGAGCAAAAGTATATTATTTATGGTACTTAAATTGTTTTATAGTACGTAGCAGTACAGTATTATTAGTTTATTAGTTGCTTGTTGCAATGTTCTACACACTGCTCAAGCGCTACAACTCATTAAGTGGCATCCTGTCCACACACTGTTGATATATACTGAATTGCGGCATCCACTATTTAGAGTGTAGGCTGGCGCGAGAATTGGCAACGTAGCATTAGGGAAGTTATAGTTCCGGAGGACGGCGCGAGGCGCGCTAGCTACCTGTATGGTTTCGTGTTCCACAATTCGGCGGGTACCTGCGCTACTTAAACTCACATCAACGAGTTCAAAAATACTCAATTGTGGCCGTGTGCCTGTGAAGGATGCCACTATTCGGTGAATACAGACACACACACACACACACACACACTCACACAGACAGACATCACTTCGAAAACCACTTTTTTGGGTTCAGGGAAACCCAAAACAGATAGATCCACTCAAACTCGAATTTTTTTACGAAAACAATACTTTCTCCATATGTATTAGGGGAGGAAGTAAAAAGGACGATGATAAACAATTATGAAATGCTTGGTCTAAGGTTCTACTCTCAATCATACATCCTAATTATGTGTCAGTGGGAATTATTATTGGTTCAGTTTTGGTACGGTTTTTGTTTTTTATAGGTAAAAACCCACCCACTTACATTTTTTTACTAAGTTACATTAATCATCATTTTTTTGTGTCTGTTTTGAGGTCAGTTACGGTAGGTTTATGTCGTAATTTATTAAACTGAGGTTGTAATTAACAATTAATCACAAAAGTTCAATCTTTTACCTGACGAGGTACTTCAGGAGTTGATCTTGATGAGGGTCCAGGTCCTGAATCAATCCCTGTCCTTTCATTTGACTTTTTTGGTTTCAAAAAGGCATCAGTCTCAAGTGAGCGTTTGCGACGAGCCTCAAAGGAGTCTTGATACTCAGGGTTATAAAAAGCAGGGGACCATGTGGAGGTGGCGTAATGGTCAGACTGGACCCATGATGAGGAAGGCTCTACCACATCTACATCTTCCCCTCCATCACTGTCAGCAAACAGAGGATCAAGCTCCATGTCACCTGCACACACAATAATACCTCTGTTAAAGACTGGAACCATGATGAGGAAGGCTCTACCACATCTACATCTTCCCCTTCATCACTGTCAGCAAACAGAGGATCAAGCTCCATGTCACCTGCACACACAATAACACCTCTGTTAAAGACTGGAACCATGATGAGGAAGGCTCTACCACATATACATCTTCCCCTTCATCACTGTCAGCAAACAGAGGATCAAGCTCCATGTCACCTGCACACACAATAACACCTCTGTTAAAGACTGGAACCATGATGAGGAAGGCTCTACCACATCTACATCTTCCCCTTCATCACTGTCAGCAAACAGAGGATCAAGCTCCATGTCACCTGCACACACAATAATACCTCTGTTAAAGACTGGAACCATGATGAGGAAGGCTCTACCACATCTACATCTTCCCCTTCTAGTCCAGGACCTGACTAGGGTTCTGTGTGCATGTCGTGTATAGTGAATTTTACTTTTGCATTTCAATATAGGTGTCTTAGGAAGTGTTTTCCACTCGGGTGTCAAGTTCGCACCTGGTACGTTTTCGAGCTATGACGTCATCAAGATGGCGGCTCAGCAATTTTTGAATGCGTATATTTCGCGAACCGTTTAATGGATCAGGATGATTTATTCTTTGTTTGAAAGATATTTTTACACCCTATCTTTCTTGTATTTACACTTTTGTTGTAAACTTAATATTTATCTCACTATATTAAAAAACGTGTTTTTTATTATTATTATATTTATTGTTTTGCTTATAACTTCTTAACCGCTGATAAAATCAAATACCACCCATTGCAAAAGTTGCAGATGATTCTATACCCTTTCCAATGATACCAAACAATATGTGATTAGACCTAAAGATAAAGCAAAGAGATTGAATAAATCGTAAACAAACACTGAAAGTGGTGTACGTTCCGGGAAAGATTTAGTCCTGGACATGACTAGAATTCTGTGTGCATGTCGTGTATAGAGAATTTTGCTTTTGCATTTCAATATAGGTGTCTTAGGAAGTGTTTTCCACTCGGGTGTCAAGTTCGCACCTGGTACGTTTTCGAGCTCTGACGTCATCAAAATGGCGGCCATTGATCTTTTTAAATCGTATATTTCGCAAACTATTTGTCGGATCGGAATGAATGTTTTTTTGTTTGAAAGATAATTTTAAATGCTACCTGTTTTACATTTACACATTTGTTGTATGTTTAGTACATTCTTCGTAATTTTGCAAAAACCTGTATTTTTAAATATTTTTGAGTTGTTTTTGTTTGTAACGTTTTATTGATACAATTTATCAAAAACCACCAATGAAAAAAGTTGTAGAACATTTAAAAATCTTTACAAAAATACCAAATTCGATATGTTTTACTCAAAAGATTACGTCAAGAAACTAGATAAATCTCATAAAAACACCAATTTTGGCGCAAAAACGCCTATTAGTCCGGCCTCTAGGGCAGTTCGCAAGTCTTATAAAAACAGTTTCGCCATTCAATGTTGATGTACGTGTCTAAATAAGGGTTTTCAACTCGGGTGTCACGTCTGCACCCACTGCAGTTTCCGGTTATGACGTCATTAAAATGGCGGAAAGGGCTATATTAAAAATAACGATATTTTACATACCATGTATTGGATCGGAATGAACTTTTTTTTGTTTGAAAGATAAGTTTACATGCTATCTTTCTTACATTTGCACTTTTGTTTTATGTTTAGTACATTTTTCGTAATTTTGCAAAAACCTATATTTTTAAACATTTTTGTGTTATTTTTGTCGATAACGTTTTATTGATACAATATATCAGAAATAACTTAAAAACAAAGTTGTAGCACGTTAAAAGAGCTTTACAAAAATACCAAATTCGATATGCTTTACTCAAAAGATCACGTCAAGAAACTAGAAAATCGTACAAAACAACCTAATTTTGCGCAAAAACGCATATAAATCTCAATCCATGCAAATGGAAATTCGCTTAGTCGAAAGGATTGCTGCACCGGGGGTATTTATATAGTGGAAACATTCCTATGGACTAATTACATTGATTTGTTGTGCTTTTATTTGCATAAAAGAGGGTAATGGTCTTATTTTAAGTAAAATAGCTGGTGAAATCGTAACATGTAGCAATTTTTAAGACATCATAACCGGAAACTGCAGTGGGTCCAGACGTGACACCCGAGTTAAAAACACTTCTTTAGACACATACATCAACATTGAATGGTAAAACTGTCTATATATGACTCGAACACAGCCATCGATGTCGGATTTATATGCGTTTTTGCGCAAAATTAGGTTGTTTTGTACGATTTTCTAGTTTCTTGACGTGATCTTTTGAGTAAAGCATATCGAATTTGGTATTTTTGTAAAGCTATTTTAACGTGCTACAACTTTGTCTATAAGTTATTTCTGATATATTGTATCAATAAAACGTTACAAACAAAAATAACTCAAAAATATTTAAAAATACAGGTTTTTGCAAAATTACGAAGAATGTACTAAACATACAACAAATGTGTAAATGTAAAACAGGTAGCATTTAAAATTATCTTTCAAACAAAAAAACATTCATTCCGATCCGACAAATAGTTTGCGAAATATACAATTTAAAAAAATCAATGGCCGCCATTTTGATGACGTCATAGCTCAAAAACGTACCAGGTGCGAACTTGACACCCGAGTGGAAAACACTTCCTAAGACACCTATATTGAAATGCAAAAGTAAAATTCACTATACACGACATGCACACAGAACCCTAGTCAGGTCCTGGACTATTCATCACTGTCAGCAAACAGAGGATCAAGCTCCATGTCACCTGCACACACAATAACACCTCTGTTAAAGACTGGAACCATGATGAGGAAGGCTCTACCACATCTACATCTTCCCCTTCATCACTGTCAGCAAACAGAGGATCAAGCTCCATGTCACCTGCACACACAATAATACCTCTGTTAAAGACTGAAACCATGATGAGGAAGGCTCTACCACATCTACATCTTCCCCTTCATCACTGTCAGCAAACAGAGGATCAAGCTCCATGTCACCTGCACACACAATAACACCTCTGTTAAAGACTGGAACCATGATGAGGAAGGCTCTACCACATCTACATCTTCCCCTTTATCACTGTCAGCAAACAGAGGATCAAGCTCCATGTCACCTGCACACACAATAATACCTCTGTTAAAGACTGGAACCATGATGAGGAAGGCTCTACCACATCTACATCTTCCCCTTCATCACTGTCAGCAAACAGAGGATCAAGCTCCATGTCACCTGCACACACAATAATACCTCTGTTAAAGACTGGAACCATGATGAGGAAGGCTCTACCACATCTACATCTTCCCCTTCATCACTGTCAGCAAACAGAGGATCAAGCTCCATGTCACCTGCACACACAATAACACCTCTGTTAAAGACTGGAACCATGATGAGGAAGGCTCTACCACATCTACATCTTCCCCTTCATCACTGTCAGCAAACAGAGGATCAAGCTCCATGTCACCTGCACACACAATAATACCTCTGTTAAAGACTGGAACCATGATGAGGAAGGCTCTACCACATCTACATCTTCCCCTTCATCACTGTCAGCAAACAGAGGATCAAGCTCCATGTCACCTGCACACACAATAACACCTCTGTTAAATACTGGAACCATGATGAGGAAGGCTCTACCACATATACATCTTCCCCTCCATCACTGTCAGCAAACAAGAGGATCAAGCTCCATGTCACCTGCACACACAATAACACCTCTGTTAAAGACTGGACCCATGATGAGGAAGGCTCTACCACATATACATCTTCCCCTCCATCACTGTCAGCAAACAAGAGGATCAAGCTCCATGTCACCTGCACACACAATAGCAGGTATATACGTTACAGTGTAAGTTTGATTTTTCCTTCATCACGTCGCATCAGTTCATATCGTACTTCTGTGCCAATGAATAACCCTCTAGCACAGTTTTGAGAAATTGGTTGTAGGGTTACTGTTAAAGCTGGAATTCCTAGACATGGGGGATATCAGTAAGTTGTCTCAGCCTTATCAATTACATAAAGTTGTCAATATAATCTCTCTACAGAATGTTAGGTGTAGTGGAATACACTTGAAGTGAAGTTGGCTTTTATTCTTGAATTGTTAGGGGCCCCCTCATTTATATGGTCGTGCGGCTTCATTGGCAACGAATAATGCAAATGACATAGCAATGATGCATTTCCAAAAAGCAAAAATAATGTAAATTGGCTGTCACGTAAATATTGACGTTTAGATGCATTTAATAGTCATTTATTCAGTCTTTAAACAATACATTATTGTAATTGACATCATCATTGTTATTGTAAAAAGATATAAGATGCAATACTTATATAATTAATAAAGTTAGACATGAAAATTCCAAAATATAGGCTGCCCTTAGTTTAACATTTAAAGGTTTAAAATAATTTAAAAATAGGCAAACTTAACAAACCTCAATTATGAATGACAGTGGGTCTTTCTTAAAAAAAAAAAAAAAAAGCTAATGGTTATCACAGGTGTACAACAATGAGCATAGAGGTACAAAATTTCTAACATTATCACAGATGGAATATGGTAAAAAACATATCAAAATAAGTGAACATGAAATATATGAAAATTAATTACAGTAATCATAGCCTAACTTAAAAACATTTAACATTAGCAAAAAATAAGATCACATTTGAAAAATTCCTCAATCTTTGTAAAACGGGTGAGATGAAAGCCACCTAGTTAATTTTCTTTTAAAGACACAACAGCAAGGACTTGACTTGAGGATGAAGCTTATTAAATAATTTAATACCTAAAACAAAATGACTGTTTGCAGTTTTCCGTAGCCTACAGTGAGGTACATCAACTAGACCCCTATTCCTTGTGTTATTTAACCATTCATCATTGTTCATTGTCTTGGCGCAAATCATACTCTTTTTCCTTTTTCTTAACATTAATCAGACAATGCAGGATAAAAACATTAATGACAATTAATATGCCAGTGCCCACAAATAAAGGTTTACAATGTGCTCTTTGGCGAGATCTAGTTATGATTCTCACAGTCTTCTTTTCTAACAATATATTATTTACATGGGTACTATTTCCCCATAACAAAACACCATAACTTAAAATTGAGTGAAAAAAGCATAATACACAGACTTTAAATAATTCTGAGGCAGACAAGAGCTAAGACATTTAAGAAGATAAATAAACCTAGACAACTTACCACTAATGAAATCAATACCGGTATGTTTAGACCAGGTCAAACAGTTGTCAATCACTAAACCTAACATTTTTATGTAATTTGGTTCATTGTAATTCTCGACTCTATTTCTAGTCTGACAGAGTAAGTGTTGAGTTTGATTCTCATTAATAATCAAACCATTAGCACTAAACCATTGCTTGGCTTCTAAAATAGTATTTTTGGCAATATTAGACAAGACATTTGTATCATTGCTTGTACTAAGAAAGGTTGTGTCGTCTGCAAACATTGTAGTTGAAGAAAGGGACACATTGGCAGGTAGGTCATTAATTGATAAAAGGAATAATAAAGGCCTTAAGATAGAACCCTGTGGTACTCCCATTATTACATCCAGACATCTTGAACGATCACCCTTCAACTCAACAAACTGAGATCTTCCATGCAAGTATGATTCAAAAAACTTTAAACACGAATCTTTAATGACGTAAAAATTTAATTTATCTAATAACACTGAGTGATCTACAAGATCGAATGCTTTAGGCAAACATTTACACAGTGAGTGAGTGGTACTAGGATTGCACTTATCACAGACTTTAACACCGCGTTTGACACACCATAAACATCTTTGCTTTTTGACATTTTTAGCTTTGACACCACACTTAACACTTCATCTTGAGAGACAGGCAACCACTGGTTCAACAAGGCTTGCTGATGGTAGTCCGTGTTATGTAGTAGGTCGCTATAAGAGACAGGAGGTGGGATGATGGATGCCTTCGCTGACTGCACCGACTCCAAGAAGAAGTTGTTATGCTGCTCTGCCGAGATCATAGAGTGCACCCTTTCCGCAGTCAAGGTTGTAGACTTACGAATCAGAGACCAGGCATCCTGACACTTATAACTGGATGGATCAATAAAGTTCATGTTAGCAGACATCTTTGCTTCATTCACTGCATTTTTATAAAGGTTTCGTAGAACTTTGTAGGCTTTCAAAGATGGTTCAGATTTAGTTGTTCTATGTACTGTAAGATCGGGTGAACAACGCAACAGTCAAAGTCCATGCAGTTAGTGAACGCATTATCAAGACATGCCTTACCCCGTGTAGGCTGATTGTTCGTGTAACAACAATTAAATTGCTTAAGTAGGTTCTTTAGTTCTTTGACGGATGGAAGGTTTGCATTTACATCAAATTTGGCATTTACATCCCCACCAAGAATAATTGTACACTTGTGACTAGATAAATAAATTAATAAATTTTCAAGTCTTTCCAAAAATTATATTTACATCTCCAGTAGGAGAGCGATAAAGACTGCCTACTATGATATTTGGGCGACTTAACTTGATCACACAGCACTCAAAATGTATATCGGAGCACAGCCATTGAATATCAATATTCTTATACACAATGTCTTTGGTGACAAATATGCAAACCCCACCTCTCAAACTACTTTTTCTACAGTAAGATGAGGCTAAAATATAACCTTACATAATCAGAAAATTGACTTGAATATCCTTTAGCCAGGTTTCGTTAAGACAAAAAACATCGTAATTATTTATGTTACAATGTATGTTGAGCATATTTAATTTACCTTCCAAACCTTGAACGTTAAAAAAAAAGCAGTTTAATAGCCTTGAATATACTAGAAGCAGAGACAGGCTTAGGCACTGTTAGGTTCCGAGGTTTTCCACAGAGCTTTGGGAGTTTAAATCCACATTAGGCTTGGGCTTACGCTTGTTATTGAACGTAGATACAAATATGTTTTTAGGCAAGAAGTTGGAGTTAAAGACATCATCCAACACATTAGATGGGATAGCCACTTTGAATGAAGAATATTCCTCTGGATATTTAGAGTTCAACTTGACAACATCAGGTTCACTTTGTATTTTACTATGAATGTAACTTTCCATATCTTCAACCTTAGTAGCGGGATTCAGCCTTGATACAAATAAAAAAACTTTCCTTTCTACTGAAGATAATGTACCAGTTTCGGACGACTGACCTGTAATGAACTTGTTTGTTTGAGCTTTAACAGATTTTCGCCCAGATCGATCAGGAACTGACACCATAGGCCTAGTCTTAGGATTGATCTTATCGAATTTTCCACTGTTAGGCCTATCAATGTTTTTATTTCTACGTTTGCTCACTAACTTGAATTCATCTTCGTTGGACTGGGTGCAATTAACTTGAAGTGAAGCGAGCGGTAGGTTTTCATCAGCTAGGCCTATATGGTTATTTACGAGGCTAGGCCTAGAAGTGACTTGTGGAATTTGAGGATTTAATTGTCCATTAGTGTTCAAGTTGGAAATATAGTTTGGAATCCTAGGATTTTTTAACTTACTTGCATAGGTTTGCTTAGCGTCACCAACCAATAAATCACTAATTGCCTCAGCCTGATTGCTCAGGGCAGTTTTGAGGTTAAAATTATCTTCATTGAGAGACTTGATTTCTTGATTCATTTGTTCATGATTTCTTGAAAGTTCGAGGATTTGATCACTTAATTTCTTGACATGTTCAGAAAGAGAAGAATTTATATCAACAGTAGATTCACGAGTGTTCATTGTGTTGAGAAGAGGTCGACAGCCGTCACCTGACCACACCTGAACGTCACATAACCACACAGCTTTACCATTGAGATCACAGAAGTGTTGAAACTCTTCGTCATTAATATCCACACAGTTAACATGAAACCACGAATGACAAATTCCACTGTGCAGCCGATCGATTTAGAATTTTTAGAAACAATTTTATTACAAGACCCACATTTAGCCTGTTTGCCAGTCGGCGCCATCTTGGAAAAAAAACATTGTTAATCAACGTATCTCATAAAGGATGATGTGATCTAGTTTAAAAGGAATCTGACCTTTTCTGTCATGACAGTAGCTGCTTAAATAGTATTTACTCAATGGGCCTTTTTTTACAGTCAAAATGTCGTATTATTTTCAATAATGTTACCAACACAGTGGGCCAAGGTCAGTGATATAGGCCACTGTAAATAATTTGTCAAGATAGGAACCATTTTAGGCAAGGTTTCTGTGTTTGGATGTTATTAGACAGGGTAAGAGCACAATAAAATTAATATGCAGATGCATTTCCTTTTGGAGAAATCTAAGCCGAATTATAAATGTCACAATGCGAGTTTGAGCATTGTGTAACTATATGGGTAAGTTAAATAGATTTTTTTGGACTGCTGCTCAGTGCACTTTAAGAATATATATTTTGGAGATAAATTAACTGGTTTTTGTTGCTGAGTAGCACTAGTAAACATGCACAACCCTTTTTGTTAGTCTAATAACATTCAAAGGCTCTCTAAGAATTCAAGTTCTTATTTTTATACATATCTATATTATATTTTCACTAAGCTGAATGAATACATCGAAGTAACCTCTCTGAAAAGTGTGCAGTATATTGCAGTATTCCAGCTTAATGATTTTCAGTTCTAAATCCTACACATATTTCTACATAAATATTGTAAAATGTTTTATCCAGTTGCTGTAAACTACTATTAATTTAACAAAATATGGACACGGCTCAAATGGGCACCGTGCCCTTCTGCACTTGTATTATTTTGTATTGTATTACACAATCGAAGATTTTTCCATTGATTGAAAACTAATTAAACATTAGCCGTTCCGTGTTTTTCATGAGAAACTCTTAAATTTGAGAACGACAAATCAAAGGAACAGTAGATGTTTATACATCATTTTAAAGGTTATTAACTGCAGAAGTTTTTATTAATATTTGACACTCTCTACAGTCCAGTTTAGTATAGAAAAACTTTGGAAAAAGTTATTACTTTTTTATAAAAAATCACAAATTCAAACTTCCATGGCCAAATAAGGGCTTATGCAGATGATTAATCTCAATGAATTTGTACTATTACTATTGGAAATTTAACGAGGATTCTGAAAATGACAATGAATTTGGAATAAAAACAATGTTTAATGCACTTATGGCCATTTTATGTAAGTAAGTACAAATATTTTGAAAAAATCTTAAATTGTCTGTTATTCCCTACCTGTGAGGGTATGGAAACTTAAATTGGTGCCATTTTGTCACCAATACTTAGTAGTTTAACACATAACATTTTTTAACACTAACTGCGTTCCACCCTGTATATTTAGATAGATAGGTTGAACAAAATTGGATAAAATAAGAGAAACATATTAAATAACTGATAACACATTATTAGGGGCATTAACAAACATTATAGGAGAAAACACACAAAATAATAGAGAAATTAATGTTAATGATGAATGAATGACATGTAATATTACAACTTCAAGTCCTGCGAGAAAATCTTGGACTCTCGGCATGACTATGCAAATAAGGGAAAGTGTTGAAAATGGGCATTGGCTGCCAGCGCTCTCTCGCAGCGAAGGAATAAAACACTTGACGAGCACACTGTCTTTCGGGGGCTCAGACCAACTAACTGAACCAACGGACCTGGCTCAGCTCCGACCACCACAGCGGGCCCATTTCAATGGGAAGTCTTATAAGGATTTACAGTCAACTGTTGTATAAACGCCAAGATACAAACAGTTCATGGACACGGATGTTCTAATTTTGAAAATGTAAATAAAACGTTACAAAGAAAATATCTACAGAAGCAACAACATTTGTTTTGCAAGTGAGTAGGGGCCTTGAGCTGGGGTCCTACACGATCGCGGATCTATAGCGAGTCTGGGCCTGCTCGTATTGTATAAAGCTCTAGCTAGGGCCATTACTAACCTACATTACTAACCTATACAGTCATTTGATGGTTGGTCGACTTCAGAACTATATGCTGTGTCTAAGATTTCAACTAGTGAGGTTGGACTTGCTTCCCCCGATGCAGATGCAAAACTCTTGCTAGTCTCCCAAGGTCTATGTTGACGTGAGGTTGATCCTCCAGTTACTGATTCTGCCATGATTTCTTTCTCTACAATAAAAATGTATTATTAATTATTGATGCTGTGTTTAAACCAAATTTACCTAACAGAATGAGAAAGAATATTTTTTACCATGAGTCTGCTAAATAATAAATGTCCTGGGCACGCATGAAACTATAATTATTTGTCATTCTTCTTAGAAAGTTCCCCAATGAGGAAAAAATCAAAATTGAAGTAGGGTCCCATGAAGTCGGCATCCGATAACTTGGCAGTCTGTATTTCCTGTTCACAATAACCTATGCCGGTGCTATTTACGACCCTGCTGATAACTATAGAAATCAGCAGATTCTTGTGTTCACAATACCTTGAACATTAAATGCACTTTTAAAGTTAAGGAATATTTAGATTTAATTGCTGAAATTGGGTTAAAAAAAACAGGTGTTACAGATTTGGGAAACTGAGGTTTCAGGTCTCATTGTAAGGCCAATTCAACTAACCAATAAGCCTAAGACAACTTTTATTTTATTTTTGTTAGGGGAGACACAATTTTTATTTCAGCTGTTTTTTTTTTATAAGGACAAAATAAGGGTAAAAAATTAAAAATTAAAAAAAAATTATAAAATTAATAAATTATTTATTTATTTATAAATAGCCTTTTACTTTAATAACATTAATATGATTAAATTAATTTTAATGACTTATTAAATTAATTTTATTTATAGGATAATACTAATAAAATTAAATATTATTTAAGTTATTTAAATAAAATTATAAATTATTTATGCTGAATTTTAATGTGCATTTATTTAGCTGCATAAAAATAGGTAGGTAGGCTATAGTTATTTTGCAAAGTAGATTTGTTACAGTATACAAAACATTCCTGCAAAATGCCTGAAAATCAACAGACACCACACAAAAAATGACTAACACCTGGGCCCTGTTTCATAAAGATACTAGTCTAGTAATTACTAGTCTAGTAAATACTAGTCCCGTATTTACCTGTCCTACTAATTTGTGTTTCATAAACGTTTTTGTTTTTATACCGCTAGTAAATACTAGTGTATTTTACTAGTCTTGTGACCAAAACTACTAGTCACATGACCAACTTTACAAGGTAGACTTTCAAAACAAATTTCTAACCTCAATCACGGGTTTTCAAACCCTTTATAAATGGTTTAATTTTGTTTTCATTTGATACAAAAAGTAAATAGTTGTAGAAACGCAGTGTTTTCTTTTAATTAATAAATATATAGAAACATAAGTAAAACAATCACACATTATTTATCAAACCGCTATTATTTATGTTCATCAATGAGCCCGCCGACGCACCGGCGCGGCGTCGCGTCGCTGCAATCAACACGGTGATTGTAGGCCAAGTTGCGGCGCTCAACTGTTGGGTGGAAGTTGATCTGTTTCTGCCGCATTCGCTGTGATTTGTATAGTTTTGGTTTTATTCTGACATATAAAATTAAGCTTGCTATGAGTAAAGAAAAGAAGGCTCAAATTTTGAATGTAATTAAATCGTCTTCTAAGGACATTTTGTTAGGAATGTTTTAAAGTACCCTAACCTATGTTTTCAAATATTCGAATGCATAAGAATATGTGGGTTAGAAACCATTCTGTGATATTCTAATTTTGAGTCTACAAACCATGAATAATAAGCCTAAACGTTTATTGATGTAACAAATAATTGCAACGCCGTTACAAGCAATGGAGTAGGTTTTCAAGTATAGTAAAACATGGCATATGCGCTATTGCAGGGCGTACCCATCGACATTCTACGATGGGAGTAGCTCAGAGGTAGAGTTTTCGCTTCTCATGTGGTGGGTCTCTGGTTCAAATCCGCACCACTCACACTCACTATACTTTAGTTCCATTAATTAAACTTTTACATGTTTTACATTTAAATAACAGCTCTAATCAACATCTATTTTTTTATTACTTTGAATAACAAATTCAGAATACCAAAATGGATTAAAAGTAATGTTTTTATGATAAGCAGTTCAGTCCAACGCCCAAAAATCAAATATAGGCCTACAAAATTGTTAGTACATCACAGGGTTTTAGCTATTTAGGGAAACAAATAATAAGCACCTAAAAAAAATACAATGCAACCCCTCTTTAAAATTGTTTTACTATTATTTCCTATTAAAATGTCTTTAAATAAAACCGAGAGCCTTGGGTGTAAAATAATCTGATTAATGTTGCAATGTTGGATACAGTTTTGTACATCTTTGTATGCAATATGGTATGCTGTTTTAATTTGGTTTCTCTCAAAGCTTAAAAATCTTTTCTCTGTGATAGCTAAATAGTTGATATAACCATGAAATTTAACTCAAGTAAAATTAGACTAAAATTTCACAGAAATTGATAACTTATAATTATAATTAATTCTAATAGGGCGATTGTACATACATTATTTGTAAAAAAGAAAAAGAAAAAAAATTTAAATTTTGTTTGTTAAATTTTTGTGAATCAATTGGACCTCGCCGGCAAGTTTTGCAAACTTGGCGAGGCCAAGATTTTGTATGATCACAAATAAAAATATATTTGAATTTGAATTTGAATTTTTGAATTATAAAATTCAATTTCACTCTTTTTGTACTACGCCATATTTATTGATTGTAATTTATATCTAATAATAATTATCATTTTAGCACTCATAGATCTACTTTTATCTTAAATTGCAAACGTGAGCCAATTCGCACTTGCAAAAAGAACTTAATAATTCATTTTTTTAAATGATGTGAGTAATGAAATAACTCTCTTTCCAAAAATACTAGTCTACTTCAAATAATACGGGTGTAGAGAGGTTGTTAGAAAATGGCAAGTATTTACCAGTGTAATTTACAAGAGTAAAACTTTATGAAACACATTGCTGTCTACACTAGTAAAAACCACTAGTAATACTAGTCCCTACACTAGTAACTAGTATTTTACACTAGTAGGTTTTTGAAACGTATACTTGTAAAATACACTAGTATTACTAGTCCATGGACTAGTAAATACTAGACTATTAGTTTTATGAAACAGGGCCCAGGAGGGTTAAATTGTTACTGGTGATCTTATGCAGACGAATCAGGATCGGGAAGATGGTTCCTCTACCAAAACGGTTGATAACCCCAAGAAAGCAGATTTTGACCGTGAACCATTACCCTGTGTTTGGAGTATTGAGAAGACGTCTGTGAATGGAAATAATGTAATATCCAGTGACTCTTTCCCCAAAGTAAGTGCTTTTTACTCCTTTATAAACCCATGGAGGACAGTTAGGCACAAGAAGAGAACTAATGTGCAAAATAGGTCTAATCCTAACCAAGAAAATGGAAGGCCAGAACGAATGAATCAAGAAACTGTTAGTAAACCTAAAGGAAATGGCAGGCCCACCCGGAAAGTATTAACCGGCACTGGTAAGTTGACAAATAGTAATGACAGTTCTAACCTGAAGGCAGTGAAAAGGACTAAATTTATTTTTGTTTTGAGACTTCAACCTTCGGTCGAAAAGGCCGATGTCGTAAACCATCTTACATCCTTCAAAAGTGGCGATTATGTTGTTGAAAGCTGGCTACCAAGTATCCTACCTATAACTCCTTCAAAATTGGTGTTCCAGAATCGCTATGGGATAGCATTTTTTGTGAGGATTTTTGGCCGGAAAACACTTTCATCAGTGAATTCAAACTACCAAGGCGCAATTTAAACTCTCAACGCACGGCCGAGACTGGGGCAAACATAGCCTAAACCCAGTAAATGATAACCTTAATGTCTTGTTTCTTAATGTGCAGGGGTTATTCCAAGGAAAACATCTTAGGCCTACATGCTGTGAGTAATCAGTATGACTTTCTCTGCCTTAGCGAGCATTGGTTGAACCCAAACGAGGCAGGTTATGTTATCGTTGAGGGTTATGAGCTTTCATCGATATTTTGTCGTAAAACCCATATAAGAGGTGGCGTCACAATCTTCGCCAATAATAGCAAGCCTACTAGGCCTACCTTCCAAGTGTTGGACATTGAATGTTATTGTCATGAAATAAGCTTTGAATGTGTGGGAATAGTTTTAGATTTAGGTTTGTATACAGGGTGAATTTTAAATGAGTTCCCCCCCTACTTTTTTCTACATTTCTTAAGATATCATCTCCGGACCACGTCAGATCATTGTTGAGTAGTAAGTACTTCATTTTGACTGGATATACATTTTTGGCCGCCATCTTGGATCCGCCATATTGGATACAAAGTTTTTTTTTCAAATGTTAAGGTAGGGTTGTGACCCATTATTTCAAACTAGAATTTTACGCTGATTACAATGCCGCAATTAGTTTTTAAAAATCTTGATTCGTTCTAAAGTTATGAGGACTTTTTATAACTTTATTTTTAGCGCATTTTAACATTGTGCATTTACAAACTAAGACCATAATCTCAAAATAGTGCTAGATAAAGATAAGTATACACCACCATTCATTGTCGACATATTTTCACTTGGTTATGACGGATGTAGTTTTTTCAGCCGCCATCTTGGATCCACTATTTTGAAATTAGATCAATTAATTTAAATATGAAGGTGGTGTTGTGACCCATCATTTTGAACTACTTTTTTATGCTGGACTCAATGCCGCAATCCGTTTTTGGTTATCAAGCTGTCTGGATGAAATATTAAAATACTCTTATTTAAAATTTCAATATTTCAAAAACCAAAGATGCAAATGAAAAACGGATTGCGGCATTGAGTTCAGCATAAAAAAGTAGTTCAAAATGATGGGTCACAACACCACCTTCATATTTAAATTAATTGATCTAATTTCAAAATAGTGGATCCAAGATGGCGGCTGAAAAAACTACATCCGTCATAACCAAGTGAAAATATGTCGACAATGAATGGTGGTGTATACTTATCTTTATCTAGCACTATTTTGAGATTATGGTCTTAGTTTGTAAATGCACAATGTTAAAATGCGCTAAAAATAAAGTTATAAAAAGTCCTCATAACTTTAGAACGGATCAAGATTTTTAAAAACTAATTGCGGCATTGTAATCAGCGTAAAATTCTAGTTTGAAATAAT